CATCTTATCAATTAACATTTCCTGTGTGCATGCAAGACGAGGTTCGTTAGGTGTTAGCTCACTTCAGTAATGCTCCACTTTAGAAAGCGTAGTTCATCTATGCATGCGAGATTGCAAAGGACCTCGATTAATGTCACCGTGAGTCGACATCTGATGGCTACTGACGCATTCCGATTTGTCAGCTCGTTCATTTGAGACCCTAGCTCACTAACCTGAATCCTACTGCGCGGGCCTTAAACATTTTTTTCGATCACCAATTCCGATGTGTTGGTAAGGTAGTGGCAGTTCCACAACACATTGACCTTAAACCCTTTAATCTCAACTCGTCGGTCTTTTGTCATTAAATACAACGCATTGATGGGTTCTTCATATCCTGTGCTTAAGTTTGATATGCCTTAATCTGGAATATGCTAATTTCGAACTACAGCGTATTAAATTGGCACACATAATAGGTCATTAGTGCGTCGAAGTGATTCCACCAGACCGCATTTGCCATACGAATTGGCTCCACTATGTCAGAGTGGGGCAAATGCCTTTTGAGGCGGATTGTATTCAACGCTAAGAAGTAGTTCAAAACCGAAATGATTTCAGTGGATTGCTAACTTGTACGACGTCGACGGTGTGCAAACATGTCGTCAATATGAATATGATTAAAAGATTTTTCTGCATTGAATAAGAGCTAAATCGGAAGTAAGCATAAATCCTTCGTGAATTTAACGCTGTAAGGAGGTTCACATGATCTACGTGGGACGTTGTAATTCTTATGTGAGGGTTGAGGACGTGATTAGCATTTGTACAGATCACACCGACAATAAAATCCCCTGTTTTTTTTAAGAAACAGCAGTTGATATCCTAGTGACAAATCTCGAATTCACAACAGTCAACACTTCATTGTGAGAAGCGAAATCACTTACATAAACGTCCATGCCGAAGTTTCCATCAAGCCATATAAGGTCATAAGAAGGCCAGCATGTTACGTTTGCACGCGGTGTTGATGCGAAGCCTTGAGCTAATAGTTTGACCCCTTTGCTTGGCACGCCGACGGCGTTTCAGAAGAAACAAGACTATAGCTTGTGCTGAAGAATGTACTGTCTGAACTAGAGGGTCAATTACAAGACACACCAAAAGCGGAAGTCAAGCGGATTCCCAGACTTGCTCGGCATTATATATGTGCCTGGGCAATATGACATCAAGGCGTTGAGTAATCAACATTGGGTAATGAGTTTGTGGTATAAGCACCATCGCCGTGACAGTAAAGCAGTAGTCAAGTGAACGGAACTGAGCGAACGGACTTCATTAATCACAGTATTAATTTATTCGTCCTGGGTGATCTAGACTTGATACTAATTTTTTTCTCCAAGATGATTAGCTGATAAGCTATCAGTATTCGTAAACACGCAGGTATCTTTAGACATTGAAAACTTATGCTTTCTCTGCATTAATGTCCCAAAATATGCATCTGTGCAGACGTAAGATTTTGAAACACACCGAATCATTTCTACTATTCAGAACGGAACTTAGATTGCGAAAACAAAGGCAGATAGAGAAGGTGTGATGAAGTTTGTAGAGAAAACAACATTGCAGACAAAATCGTTGCAATGCAAATGGACATATTCTTACGAGGGCTTGACGGCGATTTGGGCTGTACGAATTTGGTGATTAGGTAATTCAAGCACGACTGACCCCACCTAATGCAGTATATTTAAGGCCAATACACCTCGTTTCCACTATGCAAATCTAATTTACTTTCAAAAAATGATGCTGACATTAAAAAAATCAACGACGAACAAGATAGTTTGTTTGGTACAACTGACCAGCACAACTGATAGAAAATGTTGAGAACAGGCAGACTTCGTCACTTTAGAACAGAACCTGCAAGGTTGTTCATTGACCAGATTTTAGTGGATAAACTAGCATCCGTAGCCCGAATCACAGTGTTCCAAGAGGCGTTTATGCTTTAGTAAGTTGAAGTGAATTCCCACGTAGACAAAGCCTAATTTGTATTATTTTGTACCTATCACAGCCTCATAGAAGCTTGCATCTACTACCTTACACAAACACCAACTATAATGATTGTCGAATGGGCACGGAAGCTGCATCCAATCACAGAACATTAGCAACACATCGATGCGCTATTTGTCATGACAAAAGACCCAAGAATTGACATACAAGTGCCTGTGATTTTGCCACTGCTTTACCAAGATATCGGGAGGAGTGATTGAAAAAAATGTTTAAGGCCCGCGCGGTAGGATTCGCATTAGTGAGTTAGGTGTTCACATGAACGAGTTGACGAATCGGAATGCGTCGGTAGCCATCAGATGTCGACTCACGGTGACATAACTCGAGCTGTTTCCACGCTCGTGGGCAAAGGGAAAAGTCGCTCTTTCTTAAGTGTAGCATTACTTAAGTGGGCTACCACTTCACGAATGTCGTCTTGCAGACACGCAGGACAGGTTAGTAGGTGAGACGGGTCATGTCTTTTGCACTCGTTGATTCAAAACCACACAGATTATAGTCTTCGCATTCATTATTTGTAGTGTTCTCTGCAGCAGGGACAGAGGAATGTATGATCGTAATTATTAAAGATGAACAGCAATTACCATATGTAAAATCACGCCTGCTGAACTGCATCCAATTATAGGCGATGCGATCCGCACACGCATTGTCCAACTGCACCATTACCACTTGGGCTGTACATCCGCCCACGTGCGTAAAACCACCTTACGCACACAACGCACTACTCCACCAAACAAATATTCAATGAATACTTCAGTGCGGGCATGTGAGAAGGCACCACGTACATAAACACTACGACTGAACGCAAGTAACGCACGTGTGATAGTGTTTGTATAAAAGGAGACATGACCAACGTCGATTTCATCTCACACTGGACACACGAGCAAGCACAGACACACTGATAGTGGACATGCGATTGTTAACGAACCTGAGTCTCTCACTTCTCCTTCTTCTCCTCCTTTTCACACACACACGCATGGTCGTTTGTTCTGATGAAGTGGAGTCACAGCACCTGGAGGCACGACAAGTTGAGGAAGTCGATGTTGAACCGGTTGATGCAGTGGATTCGATGTTGGGAAGCGGTGAATTCGAGATTGATGATGGCCTCCATCCTGCTAGGTGGGAAATACCTCCCAAACCACGACATTGGGGATCACGTCGAGGACAACCACGACGTGGGAGTTCGCGTCGAAGACGACCTTTTTTACACGCACCTGTAATTGGACCTATATAATTTTCATATTTGATTGACGATATCGTGGATGCCATCTTCTAATATAATCTCATTGTTAAACGCAGTGTGTTCTGTTCGATTGTACCCTTGGTAGAGTCACAACTACAGGCAATGAAAGTGGCAATCAAAATGGCGAATAAACGTGTCTAAGTAATCTAATTAGAAACAAGAGCTAAGCCATTAAGCAATCGGACAACGTGCATTGTCAACCTGCACCATGCAGTCCTAACAAATCCCGTTTTCCTTCCACTTATTATATGTTCACAGAAATTGCTCAATAGTCCCAAATGCTGGTATTCCAAGTGAAACGTCGTAAGAACCACGTTAGATACCTACCTACAGTCACCGTGTACATGATTTACATCGGCAGCATTTTTTTGAATTCCGTATTTGGGCTAAAGCTGCTGCATGGTGATGTGCATGAGACACACGAGAAATCGCAGTGACCCACATTTTGGTGCTGATTAAGCTGGTCAAAATTAGGATTGAAGAAATTATTCAGCCTCTTAATGAAGTGAATACTCACCGAAGACCAAATTTGTGTCAATCAAAAACCCATGTCAGGTGTCCATTTTTTAGACGATGCATTTGGCAATATGCTAAATGTTTGCACGCGAGTCGGGAATCTCATGGCAGAGACTGCCTCCTCACACAACGACGTGTCGTGGGATTGAACCTGCATCTCTCGAAACAGACCACACTCATATTTTTGTTGAGTTCTCTGTAAGTGGGAAACATGCCTTTGCATGCACAGGATCCATTACCGTACCCTACTGGACAAAATAGTGCAAAGGTGGGTCCAGATTTTAAGCGCCATGGTCGCTGCAACGAATAAAAAGAAAAGTCTAGTGTCCATGATCCCATGATGTGACAAGAGATAAGCACTATGATGTCTAAGACGGTATGCAGCATCACTGAAATCCATCCCTGTCACATGACATTTTGCGTGGTCAACGTCTGGATCAGTATTTTCATGTACACATGGACATTCAGGTATTTAAGTTAAGAGGCAATGAAAGTGCTCATGAAGTCGACGAGCGGTTAGTAAGCGTGTACCTTTTACGGAGGCCCCGATTGTGGTGCTAATTAAGAGAAGCTACTCATGTTACGTACTGTGTCACCGGAATTATGGTGGCATCTTGGATTAACTGTCATCCATCCACCTCGATCAAATGAAAATCACGCTAATGGGGAAATCATGCTTCAAATATTCGTAGAACTTACTTCATTAAAAGAAATACACAAAAACATTAAAATTAACGCCTGTCAGATAGACATCGACAATGTCACCTCACAAATTAATTAAACTACTCATTCTCTCAAAAAAAGGAGCATCAGACTTGCATTTTCTCACGTGAATATAGCTTATCCTGCTTACGTCAACCACATCAACAGCCGACATTAGATCGTGTGTAGGACCAGGCGTGTTTGCATCGGTAACGGCTATTCGGCAGGGACAATGATTGAGCAGCATGCTGGAACAATCCTCAACTCATTCGTGTCCATCTCTGAGGTATCAGCTAACCAATCACATAGCTCAATGACTGACCACCTATCAAGTGAGTTCTTTTTCGAGCCTTTGCAAAGTCAAACCAACGATCATGCGAGAGGAAATAATTCACAACTGCTAATCACTCCTCACATCACTCGATTCATCTCTCTTTTATATAAATGCCTCCATTCATATTCCTGATGAATACACGGAATTACGTGTAGCACAAGTTCAAGCACGATTTCTTCATTCAACATATCAAGTTCTGCACTTATCCTGTCATAGTTTAAACGCTCTTCCATGCATCGGTTTTAAAAAACACAAGGAAAATGTGCGAAGCGGGATTACACGTGAAGACGAATGAATCTTGAGTCACAAGCAAAAAACCATCACCTGTATTGGACCTCTAACAAACCGCTTGACACGGTGCCTTCACCGGAACGAGCCAAACGCCGCTGGCTAGAGACTCTCCTCCTCTTCCTTAGCATCTGTCGTCCTTACCACTCCCTCCACACCAACAGCTGATTAAAAGTCCACCAAATCAGGTTGGTCACTCTCCAGTCACATTGAGGCATCATCAATAGAGCCATCCGCTTAATGGTGATTGGTTAAAAGTAGTGACCAGATAGAGAAACCCGTAAACGTTCACATTCCTGGTTTGTGTGTATGTTACTGTGTGATCTAAGCTGACGTCATGCATAGCGTCCTTGTATACAACTCTGCAACCGCAAATTTATTAGTTTAATGACGTTTGTGCATGAACGAGACAAAGATTCAAGATTAAAACTGTGGTGGGTGATGTGCACTCATTTGAGTGTCTTTGGGGACCGATTTGTTATTAAGTGCCTAGAGCAAGCGGTGGTGGCTGTTACGATAAAACACGCGGATGAAATCACTTATTCAAGCACCGCTGCTTCATACATGTCCTAATCTTCATAGCCCTCATTTCATTCCTTAGGGTGGCTGAGACACAGCGTTGGTGCTTCCGAATAGGCGTGAATTTTTAGTACTAGAATTATCCGATTCTGCATATGCAAGATTTGTGTAATGCGATGATATTTGTACATCTAATCAGTCAGCATAGGGATCCGCTGTATATAAATTATTGTTACGTTTGCCCGTAACCAAGACCACTTACCCGTTTAGATAACCGGTACCCCATTTCCCTTATCAGACAGTGGCCCCTACCTTCCCACTCTAGTGCAAGACGACAAGACGGTCTCGCGCAGAGAGCCTTTGATGCCTCAGCCAAAGGCCGAGTGATCTGTCAGAATGTCAACACTTATACAAGTTGGGGGTGACCTTGACCTCATGGATGAAAGCGAATTAACACAGATGGGGTTGTCAACAGGACGCCGTGGGTGACTCACTCGCTGACGTAGCGTGGTTAGGGCATTAGTGTAAACAATGACAAAACCGGCGAAGAGCCATCTTGGGGAATCCTGAATCGACAACAATGATGCCATGAGAATCTTGGTAATGCATCTACGTCATCAATTAAAGTTATACGAAATGCTTACTTTGCTAAGATTTCAGTCTAATTAAAATAATTAGGTAGGTGTCGAGACCATTGCCTGCAATCTGCCTAGACGGGTGTAGCCCATAACTATGGTCTTTAGTAATTCCTAAAGGTCAAATCGCTGCCCATTTATGACTCCTTTCATCCACCCTTAATCTGCAATCGAAGAGACAAAGAGGAGCGTTGGGTTATCAATGGCTTTCCAAAGGGTTTAATTCTGCTAATCGGCTTAAACGATAAACACAAGAGCCAGTAATCGAGCAAATTTATTGTTTTAACACAGTCCGCTGAAGACCATTCAGAAAAATCTATTGCAGTGAAGTTTTTGCACATTTCAACCAGATCAGACGACTCAGTTCTTCATTTTAAGAAATCTGCTGGAATTGAATCATGAGGTTTATCACTTCCTTCTATTACCAATTTGTCACGGTTTCATCCTCTTATGATATCAGTCGCCCAGCTTTCTGTATGCGTCTTCTGTTCACTTGGATCCTTCCACAAAAGTCCAAACACTCTAGCTGGGTTTCACCATGTACTGCCAACCCTGACCATGTTGAGTAGCTTGGAAGCATAGGGTTCTATTTGATGCCTTAGGCTCATACCCTCCGTTTACCTCTTGAATAATAAGCAGCAAAAGTGTAGATGAAACACAGATGAATTCCATGGATTTCTGTCTTCAAATCAAGCTAACAAATGTGACTCTACTCTATCAGTCCCCTTATCTGCAAGCTGCCAAGATCTTTAACTCTGATTCAGAGACCTCGCACAGAATTTGTGAGAATAAGACCCTTTGGGGTGAAGTTGTCTATTTAATGCCTTTCGACTAAATCACTTGGGCACATTGATTCCTCACAATTCTTGCCAATTCACCCAACTCCAGTTACGACCCCACCAATGATACTAAAATTCAAAGAAAAAAGATTTTTTTTAGGATTTTAATATTTGACTGTCCGTGGAGTAACAGGTCTCAGTGTATATTTCGGACGAGGTGTCCACTTTTTCTGTTGCAGTCTCCATTGTCGCAGCCATGCGGGTGTAAAGAGATCATAATTACTCAAATCGTTACTTTTAAACGTCGATCTCACGTCAGCAACTGGTTTAACACCTGGCATCTCAAATTGTCCTGCTACTGGGCCACGCAACATGGCTTCATCAGAGCCAGCGGCTGTGCGCATGGGACTTAAGAGGAGGAGGAGGAGGAGGAGGAGGAGGGGGAGGTGAAGCAGAACTGAGAGACACAGACTCGTGGACGGCCGCATTTCAAGTAAGAGTGTGTACGTGCTTGCTCGTGAGTGTGCTGTGAGATGAAATAGACAGTGACCATACCACCTTTTATATACGCGCAACCACAACTGCGTTATTTGCATCCATTCGCATTGTTTATCTAAAGTGCACCTTTTCAAGTAGCCCCGTTGATGCGTTCGTTCAATGTTTTCTTTCTCGTGTATGAGCGCCCACTGGACACTGGACACGTGGACAATCATGGGCAGACGCCTTAATTGGAGACCATAGTGAAGACACTAATGACGGCGACACCATTGTGAATAGTTCACCTCGTTACACAACTTGCCTGCATCATTCACAAACACGTCAATGTGCAAAGTATTTGAGTAGTTACTGAGGGAGTATTTCTTGTATTGTCTCATGAAACCATCTTAAAAATGTCAACTTATTGCCCTTAATGCACTAGAGCCGGCAATATACATTGAGAAGGCCCGACCAAAAGAAGCGTGGAAAATGAAGATGGCGCGTAGCTCACCTAATTTAAACCAATTGTGTCATGTTCGCTCACACTTGCTAACTGCGTTCGGCCACGACTGCCAACTGTTCTCATTGCCTGCTCGCCACACTTGCATTTGGAATTTTCTGCAAAGTTAAGTGTTGTTTACTGAAGGTTTTTAGCGACCCTTCCGGCAATAATGAGTTTCAATTGTTGCAAGACACAACAGCAGAAAACTGTTTGGCTGTAGATGTAAAAAGATCATTGTGAATGCAGTGGTAGCGAAAAGATGATCGTCGTTTGTAGTTAAGGTAACAAAGTTGGCAGCTAACTCCCCAAGCTACAAAGAAGGCATTTTTGAGTGTTCAGTCAAATTTCGATCAAGTAAACGTGCATTCTAAGCGGAACTAATGGGGTATACCGTTAAAGTTTAGTTGACCCGGAGTCTTATGCCATTAGATTCGACCACAACTTAAGCATCGTTAATTTAGTTATTTAAAAGCATTGCGAATTTAAACTAAACAGACCACCACGTAACGCTGAGAGCAATCTAGTACAATTATCTGGGTTATTTGGCTGTCAGAAGAATTCACATGGCATGAGTAATTCTGTTCGCTTTATTAAAATATTTCCATGACAGTGTGATCACAGAAAACGGAATATTTAATTCTACCTAATTACGGACTTCATATAACTGCATATCTCTTAAAGCAAATTGAATCGTCAGCATACCGCAACTATTTCAGTCTGTCGTGATATTTTGGTTGTAGAGACGTTCCGATGCAATTGGTACAGTTAAAGACACATTCTGATGTAAACACGTGTGATTAAAGTTTCCTTTGCAGCAAGTAAGTTTAAAGTCCGAGGTCAGCATAGACAGATGCAGGTTGTTTGATAGTAATGCGTAAATAAACACTCATTAAAACATTCATCTATGACAGTGGGTTGATGTCGTGCTTGATAATTCTGCACCGTCAAGTGAATGGGGAGCAATGTCTCCAACAACTTAGCTGATGCAAAATTAAAGTGGTCGAGGCCGGGTAGTAAGCCGTAGCAGTATCAGGTCTTCGCGGCACACAGTATTGCTTCCTTAGACATCCAAACGCAGTTTCAGGCTCTCCATGTCTCTCAATTCTAATACTTCTCCCCCTCGTGACTCACACACCACTGGTCGTTGGCTCTGTGAAGTGAAATCACAGCACCTGGAGACAGGATACTTTAGAGGACTAGATGTTGAACTAGTTGACTCAGCGGAATCCATGATAGAAAATGACGATTTTGACAATGATGACAAACTTTATCCTGCTACGTGGTTGCCGCCTGGAGTACCGGAACCACTGAAAACACCACGTGCAAAATCACGAACTAGAAAATCGTTATCACAGCATCATATATTTTCATACTTCCACATAGACCCATTTGATGGTTTCGTGTTTCTTACATTTTTTGAGGCTAGATTCTGAAATAATATCATTGCGAGACTAAACATTCTTCAAATCGCTGTAATATTGCTTGTGTCACAACAGCACGTAGTTATATTTTACTGTAACTGCCCTGTTAGTTAAGTACGAATTAGAGACAAAAAACTCGCGAATAGCAAACTTCTTCGGACGAGTTGTGTTCTTTAGCTACGTTATCGAAGTTCAAGCCCAATTTCAAATGAATGCTAGCGTAAATGTTTTCTGAAATGAATGAGAGCTAGATCGAAGATGATTACGCAACACACTACTTGTTAAGGATCGATATCACAGATGTTCATCTCTGCCTCTAGAAACCCAAGTAAGCGTTCATCCCTTGTTACACGTTATGATGCAGAAAATGAGGAGAAGGGCTAATTCTTGACTCACTTCTAAACAGTCCCCTTGAATTAGCCATCGCTATGTGCATAGTGAAAGCTGGGGCAAGGTTATTTTTCTAATTGCGATTATGAAACTGTGACGAAGGTATGGGTTCAACTGAAATGTGGGTGTGGTCCATGTCGAAGTATGCAGGATTACTCTCAGAAACATGTCGTTGTTTGAGGAGGCAGTCTCTAGAATAAGATTCCAGTCTCGCGAGCAAACATTCAGCATATTGACGTAAGTATCATTTGAAAATGGACACTTGACATGGGATTTTGATCGAAACATATTTGGGCTTCGGTGGGTATCGACTTCATTAGGAGGCTGAATAATTCCTTCAATTCTTATTTTGACCAACTCAATCCGCATCACTATGTGGGTCATTGCGATTGCGGTGCGTTTCATGCACTTCGACATGTCGCAGCTTTAGCCCAAATACGGAATTCAAGCAAGTGCTGGCGATTGAAATCATGCTCACGGTGAGTGTAGGTATTTGTTTTAGTAGCACATCGACGTGGTTCTTACGACGTTTCACTCGGAAGAACAGCATGTGTGCGTGTTCAGCTATGTTGTGAACAGATAAAACATGGAAGGCAAACGCGATTCGATAGGACTACAAGGTTGAGATTGACGGTGCACGTTGTCCCATTTACTAAAAGCTTAGCTCTTGGTTCTCACTAGATTACTTAGACATATGTAATCTGCTTTTTGACTGCCTCGTTAGTTACCAGCAGGTAAGAACACGTGAAGGTTAAAACCGAAGAGAAGACGTTTAGTTCAACAATGAGAATATATTAAAAGCTGACATCCACAATATTGTCATTCAAACCTGACTATTTTGGGTGTTTATATACAGGTAGGAAAAACTGTGGACGTCTTGGTCGCGGTCTCCAAGGTCGTGGTCTTCCTGGTCGTGGTCTGCGAGGTGGTCGCCACCTAGCAGGGTGGAGGTCGTCATCAATCTCGAATTCACCGCTTCCCAACATCGAATTCGCTGCATCAACCGGTTCAACATCGACTTCCTCAACTTGTCCTGACTCCAGGCGTTGTGACTCCACTTCATCAGAGCCAACGACCATGCGTGTGTGAGTGAAAAGGAGGAGAAGAAGGAGAAGTGAGAGACTCAGGTTCGTTAACGATCGCATGTCCACTGTCAGTGTGTCTGTGCTTGCTCGTGTGTCCGGTGTGAGATGGAATCGACGATGGTCACATCTCCTTTTATACCAACGCGATCACACGTGCGTTACTTGCGTCCAGTCGTAGTGTTTATGTACGTGGTGCCTTCTCACATGCCCGCACTGAAGTATTCATTGAATATTTGTTTGGTGGAGTAGTGCGTTGTGGGCGTAAGTTGGTTTCACGCACGTGGGCGGATGCACAGCCCAAGTGGTAATGGTGCAGTTGGACAATGCGTGTGCAGATCGCATCGCCTATAATTGGATACATTTCTGCAGGCATGACTTTACAGGCGTTAATTACCAGTCGCTTCAATCATTTTTATCATTCATTTCTTTATCCCTGCTATCGAGTAAACAACAAATAACGAATTCGAAGACAATTGTCTGTGATTTTCATCCAACGTGTGCATTTGACATGAGCCATCTTATCAATTAACATTTCCTGTGTGCATGCAAGACGAGGTTCGTTAGGTGTTAGCTCACTTCAGTAATGCTCCACTT